TGGCACTCGAAAAAGACACGATATTAAACCCATTTTGCTGACAAGGGTGCAAAGGCTTGAGCTAAATCTAAGTCACTTGTTTTTAATTTAGCAATACCTTTTGAGGTACAGTCGGATCCACATCTTGCCAAGGTTCTGGATTTCTTTTTCGATTAATGCTGAAAATCAATAAAAGTCCATTTTAAACCAATACTGATGTGGGGGTCTATAAACAAGACCCAGTCTGTATATTTAAGAATCTGTTAATTATAAGGAAATATCAGTAGTAAATAATATGGATGGTAGACCTCTTAAAGAATCTCACAATTTGGCTCAAACATTAAGGATCAATTTCTTTAAGGAGGGTGGGGAGTCCATATACCCTTCATTCTGCTAGACAAGATGATTAACAATCAGAGTGGAGCAAACAAAAATGTTCTAGCCCTGGGTATTAGCTCTGAGATTCTCTGTCAGTGGTTCATAGCTACTACTCTCTCCAGCCCTGCACTGGGCCAAGATCAGTTTCATCTTCCTTCTGGTACAGGACAGATACTGTTTCACCTTCTCATAGACCAAGCCCAGACTGATTTCATTGCACATAACTGAATCTACCAACTCTACCACAACAGGAACTCTTTCTCATATGTTTAAAATGTTAATTTGTTATTGAGATGATTGCTTGTTTGATGCTATATACATAAAAAGCCTTTGTAAAAAAAAACACTTTACATTTCAAAACTTAAGCTAAAAAATTAAATTTTATTTCACTAGAGAGGAGATGAAAGAAGGTTAATGGATGAAAAAAGGCTTATTACATAGAGACAAACTAGTTGTTTGGGGGGGAATGTTTTCTTTTCTAGTTCAGGATCCAAGTTTAGTTTGATATTCTTCTTAGGAGGGTTGGGGCAGGAGGTATAGGAAACCATATCTAGATTTCATAAGCTCAAGACCAAACACCCAAACATTTTTTTAAATAAATAGTGACTACTTACATCACATCACTTTTTCTAAGGGAATAAACAGCAAAAGATGATGCTCCGGTCCCTGCCATGGTCATAAACACCACCAAAGGAATAAGCTAAAAGAGAAAAAGGTTGTGGGTAAATGCTGCAATGTTCCGACCTGAAACATTTAAAATATGGCAAAAATGGCTACAGAAAATTTTAAACTTTCTTAAAAATCTGCCCCATCTTTTCATCTTTAAAAGGTAACGTGCCTTTGACATGATTACATTTAAAACTTACTTCCTTCTTTTTCCTCAGGAGTTGAAAGAAGTTCATGATGGAGGAGTGAGGAGTGTCAAATCTA